TGTTGCATAATGGGTACAAGTGTCTGTGTGAGATGATCAAAGGTTTTGGGAATCGATAGTTGTGGAGAGCGGCTACAGTGTTTGGACAGGTGCAAGCCTCGGACTGATGAGAGGGCACAGTCCTCTCATGGCCACGTGCAAGTCCCAGCTTGGAGGGCAGAGCCCTCCCAGCACAATTATAGCCAAAAGTTACAGTTGTAAACTAGAACCTATGGTCCGAACACGTGGCCCCACGTGCCTGAGTGATGTGGGCTTGATAGAGTTCAGGTGCATGTAATTGAGTAGATTCGAAACCCACAAGAACGTTGTAACCACACCCTTACGTTGCCTCGTGGAATCTGGCTACAAAAATAAAGAGACGACTTACAGGCACAGATAGTGGTGGCGGTTGCATACCACTGTGGATGTACTTAATGCCACTGAGTTGTGCACTCAAAAATGCTTAAAATCACATTTTAAAAAAACATTTAGCCCTGGCCGGCTTGGCTCAGTGGATAGAGCATCAGCCTGCGAACTGAAGGGTCCCAGGTTCGATTCCGGCCAAGGGCACGTGCCTGGGTTTCGGGCTCAATCCCCGGTAGGGGGGCGTGCAGGAGGCAGCCGATCAGTGATTCTCTCTCATCATTGATGTTTCTATCTCTCCTTCTCCCTTCCTCTCTGACACCAATAAAGAAATACATTTAAAAAAATAAGTAAATAAATAAAAACATTCATTCCCTATTGATGGACACTAGGTTGCTTCCGCCCTTTGGCATCATGTGTGAAGAATGCTGCTGTGACCATCGGTGTACACGTCTCTGAGTCCCTGTTTCTAGTTCTTTCGGGTGTATACCCAAGAGTATGCCGGGTATTTCATGTTATATAGATTAAACTGCAATAAAAAATTTAAAAAAGAGAGAAAGGCAGGCAGGTGTGAGGGCACAGGGAGGTGACCACACCGGCCTAGCTGCAGGGTTAGGGGGCGACGGAGTCAGGTTTGTATTTGAGAAAGACCAGACACCGTGGTTACTAGGCAGGGTTACTAGAAAGAATATTCATGTGCTTGGAACCAAGGACTTGGCCCAGGGAAGACCCCTGTCCATATCCAGGGTGAGGGGCTGATGAGAGGGTAGTTTAGGGAAGAGCTTACACTGACCTCCTTCTAGAGTAGCCGTACACCTCAACCCTGATGACTGGCTGAGTCTCAAAGTACCTGCCATATTTTCTTCCATATATATATGTACTAGAGGCCCGGTGCACAAATATGGTGCACAGGTAGGGTCTCTAAGCCTGGCTGGCGATCAGGGCCGATTGGGCCTTCCAGCTGCCAGCCAGGGCCTTCCTTCATTCCATGCCGCTCCCTAGTGGTCAGTGCATGTCATAGCAAGCGGTCGAACTCCCGTGGGGACAATTTGCTTATTAGGCTTTTATATATATCGTTTGATTTTACAGAGAGGAAGGGAGACGGATAGCGAGTTAGAAATATTGATAAGAGAGAAACATCGATCAGCTGCCTCCTGCACACCCCCTATTGGGGGATTGAGCCCCCAGCCAAGGTACATGCCCTTGACTGGAATCGAACCCGGGACCCTTCAGTCCGCAGGCCAACATTCTATCCACTGAGCCAAACTGGTTAGGGCCATATTTTCTTCCTATGTCTACAGATCCCCATAGAACAAGCTCACCTCTACATTGGTAATCATCTAATCTGGTGTGAACCGAAATTACCCAAACATCATTATGTGTAGCTCCCTTGGGAGCCGAGAGGCAACTTTCTGTTGCTCTTATTCCTCTCTTTTTTTCTTTTTCTTTTTTCTTCTCTTTCTGGGAAGTACCTCTAGGCCAGGAGTACTGGCCAGAAATACCATTGTCCCTATTAACAATAGACCTTTCGGTAAATTGCAGAATTCACAGTTCTGAATACAGAAACATTACCTTTTTTTGAAAGGGGGGCGGTGGCTTTGGCAAGGCGTATATGGCATTGAATGCGGTCAGCTGAACTCCAGGCTCTGTGAACAATATAGCAAGAGCCTTGGTACCTCATCGTGCAGGAGCCCTACTGTGTGTCAGCCTCTGCGGGCCTTGAGGGCTTTCTGGGAAATACATTATTGTCATTTCCTTGGGGCAGGTTGAACGAAAGTGATCAGGCTTTCATTTGAGATGAAAATGTAACTCACATCTCTGATTTCTGTGCCCTCCATCAAGGAGCTCAAAAATGTCCTGTAGAAATTATGTCAGATGCTTGAGTGGCTATGAGACCTGTTGAAATGAACTGACAGACTCAGTCTTGCTGGGCTGCTGAGCTGATGGTTCGGACAGACCCACACAATCACTCACACAGCAGGCTAATGGGGAGGGATTCAGAGGCCCTGCAGACGGGCAGCCTGTCATGGCGGTCTGCTGAGAACCAATATCAGTAGTAATTAATATAAATGGAGAAGTCTGGTCAGAAGGCTGAATTGGGCTCTTTGATATTCACAGGGTGAATATTTGCATTTTATTACCTACTGCTGACTCAATGGCCTAAAGCGGACTCCCCCAACCTGATAATCTTACTGTTTACCTAAACAATCACCTTTGATATGCCTGTTGGCATTCCTAAAAGGCAATTTTTTATTCTAGTAAATAAATGCAGATGGGAACGGAGACTCAGGGGAACTTGGTCTCTTGCACCAGGCTCACAACTGGCTTCCCCCATGATTTCAAATTTATATTTCTTGTCTTGTGTTTTAATTTGCACATCAGCCCTTTCTCCAAGTCTTTGAACCCGAGGCCACGCTGGCCGTGGCTTCACAGCGGTCCATGCACATCTCGTCTTTTGCAGGTTTTGGCTGGTGATCAACGAGGCGGGGAACATGGTGACTGCTCGCCAGGAGCCTCGCCTGGTCCTGGTGTCCCTGACCTGCGAGGGGGACACCCTGACCCTCAGTGCAGCCTACACACCGGACCTGCTGCTGCCCATCGAGACGCCCGCCACCAACCCCGTGCTCAAGTGCAGGTAAGCTGCTGGCCTTTCCTAGCCCTGGCGCGAGTGTTTGGAGAAAGTTCAAATTTCGGAGGGAAGCCCCAGAAAGGTGGTCAGCAATGAGCTATGGATCCCACGTCCTCAGGATCATGAAGGTTCAGAAATGGGTGTTCATGTGGGGTTGACGGCCATAGAAGCCCCGTGTTGGAACACCCAGGGGACATCAGCGAGGGACAGATGACACCCCCAGAGGCTGAAGGACCAGCGTGGGGTGGGAGTGACTGGGGGGAGGGGCCTGGAAGAGGTGAGAATAGACCGATGGATGGCCTTGGACTGGCCCTACTCTGCCTGGAAAGACGAGGAACCTTCCCAGTGTAAGTGAGGGAAGGGGGACAAATGGCTGTGTGACCCGTGATATTCAGGTCTAATAAAAGGAGGTTCCAGAATAGAAACAGGCAGCTGGGATCTGCAGCCACCGGGGGTCGGAGTCCCAGTGGGCGGGAGAGTCAGCCAGGACCCCCTCTACCCCCCAACGTCAGAGGGGCGACAGGAAGCAGTGATTCCGGGGAAACTAGCATGGCTTCTGAGAAATCAGGCGTAGAGATGGGTTTTTTATCCTCTTGTGGGGAAAATTAAAATGTGGTCTAATTACACGTTTGTTCCAGTTGTTGCATTTTTAACTAGAAATGCTAAAGGTAATCCATATTGTAGAGCGTGTCACATCAAAAAATGTAGTTAGCCGAAAAGGTCCAAGACCCCCGAAAGTTCATAGGATGCAACCAGTTATATAACCAATATAATTTCTAGAATACCTGGAGTTTTAAAACATAATAATATGCTTCTGTTATAATTGGTGTGTTTTATTCTGATTATAAAACAAATATATATTCATAGTTGAAAAATTGGAAAATACCACAAAAAAGAAAAAACAAAACCCATCTGAAATAACTATAGTTAATTTTTTGCCATATTTCCTTTCTGTTTCTATGGCTAATATATATTTTTTTTTCAAGAGAGAATTTTATTTTATTTTTTTTCAGTTTTGCCAATTTTATTGAACCAATAAAATTCCTACTAATAACAATGAAATAAATTTTTGCAAGTATAAATGTGATACAGTTTAACAAAACCCATTGTTCTGTACCTATAAATAGATTTTCAAAATGTCATAAAAATTATGGCTAATATTTTTAAAACCAAATTGAAATGATTCAAAAAAAAATCAGAGTTTTGAATACTGTTATATACTTGTCGATAAATTAAATATTTTCTTATATCATTAAAAAAATCTTCTAAAATACCATTTTTTATGTTGGAAAAATGTTGCCTTTCTGCATTTTAACACGTCCCCACTTTTAGACATTTGAATTGTTTTTCATTTTTTTCCAGGTATGAGGAAGAATGTGATAAATATCTTCACTAGAGGCCCGATGCACGAAATTCGTGCAAGGAGCTCGGCCCTGGCAGCCGCAGCAGCTCGCCTAGGCCCTCGCAGCCCCGGCTTCGTCCGGAAGGTCGTCCAGAAGGACATCTGGAAGGACATCCGGAAGGTCGTTCGGCTGTCCGGTCTAATTAGCATATTACGCTTTTATTATTATAGATAAGTCTTTGTTAATACCTCTTATTATTTCCTTAGGGGGGGAAATTTAGCAGTGGTTTTGTTAGAATCAAAAGCTATTGAGCTTTTGATATATTCTTTTGCAGAATGGTTATACCAGCTCTATAGCCACGAGCGATGTATTGGGCATATCTCTCTCATTACATTCTGACAGTTATGGTCAAAGATATTTCGCCATTTGTATGGGGGAAATGGGGATTTCATGTTGATTTAATGTGCATTTTAATATGCCTATTGCAATTTGTATTTCACGTCTGTCTGTATCCTGGCTCCTGTTTGCCACGGTTAGGTCGTTACCCATACTCTTTCGTGGTGAACATTTCTATCCCTTAATTTTTAATCCATTTGCAATGGCGTGACCTTTTGCATGATCCCGTACAGGCTTTGGCCTCTGCCCCAAAGACCAAACCAGAACCTGTTTGGAAATTGCAAAAGAGAAATGCTCAGACTCTCAGGGCAAAGATGTCCAGAATCTGCTGGTCCGTCCTACCCAAAGTCACCTACAAATTCAGTGCAATCCCGACCCAAATGCCAATGCCATTTGCCACAGAAATAGAAGAGTACAATCCTAAAATTTGCATAGAACTGTGAATTACCCTGAATAAAGCAATCTTGAGGGGGGAAAAAAAAAAAAGAACAAAGCTGGAGGCAACCCACTTCCTGATTTCAAACCATACTACAAAGCTACGGTAATCAAAACATTACCGGCATAAAAATACTAGACAGCAGGTCAACGGAACAGAATCAAGAGCCCAGAAATAAACCCACGCCTACAAAGTCGCTTGATATTTGACAAAAGAGCCAAGGAGTAATCGCTGGGGAAAGGACAGTCTCTTTGAGAAATGGTTTTGGGGAAAGTGGATATTCACAGAAGCGGGGACAGGCTAACATCAGGTCTCCTGATAATGGAGGAATGACGGGGACGTCACAGGGTGGGGCAGGGTCTCTGATACGGGTGGGGCATGGTCAGGGCCCCAGGTTTGCAAAGCCAGGCCCTCTCTTAGCTCCTGCCGCCCCCTGCAGGGTGCACGACCTGGAGATCGAGGGCCGGGACTGTGGCGAGGCGGCGGCCCAGTGGATCACGAGCTTCCTGAAGACCCAGCCCTACCGCCTGGTGCACTTCGAGCCTCACATGCGACCAAGAAAGGCCCACGAGATGAAGGATGCGTTCCGGCCCACGGACCAGGTGAGAGAGCGCCCTTGGTCTTGGCCCTCCGGTGACCGATGGGAGGCAGGCTTCCTCGGAGCGGAGAGCCCCTTGGGCGGGGCGCATGTCTGCTGAGCTCAGCGCTGTGGTTTTGCCTGGTGCCCCCCCACCAGGCGAGCGGCCACCCCCAGGCAGGTCCCCTCCCACCCTGGTGATTGGGAAGACGCCTGCATTTTTGGCCACAAGCATCCCCTTGCTGTTTACAAAAGCCTGCTGGTGCGCCTGGCTTCCAGAACTGGTCTGTGGCAGTAACTTCTGCTCCATTCTGTGGCTGCATCCATCTGGCCTTTTATTATTATTATTATTATTATTATTATTATTTTAAATTCTCACCCGAGGATGTTTTTCCATTGATTTTTAGAGAGAGTGGAAGAGAGAAGGGAAGACAGAGAGAAACATCGATGTGAGAGAGACACATCGATTGATTGGTTGCCTCCTACACGTACCCCAACCAGGGCCTGGGCCAGGGAGGAGCCTACAACCAAGGTACATACCCTTGACCGGAATCGAACCCGGGGCCCTTCAGTTTGCAGGCTCATGCTCCGGGTCTGGCCTTTTTACAGTTTGCAGTTGGGGTCAGATCACCGTGGGGCACATGGGTGTGTGTCTGGCGACCCACAGACTTAAAATGACTACACCGGCTCTTCCAGGAACAAGGCTGACTCAGTGGGGTTGGGAGCACATTGTTGTGTAGTTCCATTACTAGGGCCACTACACAAGTCACCATCAGCAAGAGTCTTTTTTTTTTTTTTAATTGATTTCAGAGAGGAAGGGAGAGGGAGAGATAGAAACATCAATGATGAGAGAGAATCATTGATTGGCTGCCTCCTGCACGCCCCCTACTGGGGTCCGAGCCCGCAACCCAGGTATGTGCCCTTGACCAGAATCGAACCCAGGACCCTTCAGTCCGCAGGCTGACTCTCTGTCCGCTGAGCCAAACCAGCTGGGGCCAGCAAGAGTCTTTAACACTGATGTGCAGGTTGCATAAAAAATAAATACCCGTGGAATCGGTGAATGATTTTTTATCCACACACAATGAGGTCGTCGAGCCCAACCGCCTTACTAAACGTGAGAAACTAGAGGCTTGAAATGCTGGAGTGACCTCCCCAAGGGCATCTGCCCACTGACAGCTCCAAGATCCCAAGTTCATGTCCACTTCACTCCATCATATAAATCCCGTTACCTGCAAGGCCTTCCGAATCACTGTGACTTTTCGATAAAAAGGCCCGGCCTGCGTGGCTCAGTGGTTGAGCATCGAACTATGTATGAGCCAGGAGGTCTCGGTTTGCTTCCTGGTCATGGTAAGGGCCTTGGGTCTAAGGCTCGATCCCCAGCGGGAAGTGTGCAGGAGGCAGCTGATCAGTGGTTCTCTCTCATCATTGATGCACTTGATGTTTCTCTCTCTCTCTCCCTTCTTCTCTGGGATCAATAAAAATACACTTAAAAGGAACTAGAGAAATATTTAGAGAGATTGGGGGAGGGAGAAGGGAGGGTCCCACGGACTAGACCCGCCGGACCTCTGCGAAATCCTTTGTGTAAGAACAATTTGTCTCTTCATCAGATCGCGTACTCTGACGCCAGCCCGCTCCTGATACTGTCCGAGGCTTCGCTGGCCGATCTCAACTCCAGGCTGGAGAAGAAAGTGCAGGCCATGAACTTCAGGCCCAATATCGTCATTTCGGGGTGTGGCGTCTACGCAGAGGTAACACTAGCCTTCCTTGCCTTTTCCCTTGGACTTAACTTTTTTTTAAAGGTCCGAGAGTCTTTGAAGTGACATTAGATTATTTCTGAGGATGCATTATTTATTGGCCCTGCACAGCACAGCAGTTCATTTTTCAATTTCCTGTGCACCCGATCAGTGTTGGGGGGGCGGTCACAGATATAGACAAGGCAGAGATGTGCTTTGGGGAGCAGTTCCGGGTCTGAGGTGTCCTAGGAGAGTTCCCAGGAAGCAGATGGGTTTTTGAACCAGGTTTCCTTAGCAGAGAGCCCGTGAGGCGTGGGACCCTGGGACAGGGACGGGGGGAGTGCTCCCGTCTGGTGGAAGGTGCTTTGCTGGTTGGCCGATGGCCTCTTGGGGAAGACTGGCCTTCCCACCGCGGCTGCTGGAGGCTCAGTTTTTACATCAGAATCCCGGGAGGACACACACATTCAGTGCGTAGCAGCCTCGGTCTCCACGCATGCTTCTGGCCTGTTCTCTGGACCCTTCTCCACCCTGAAGACCCCTAATGAGCATCCTTGCTCCCTTCTTTTCCACGTGGATGCTAATCTCAACGTCAGGAGGTCCGAGACTGAGGGCTGAGTTTCCCCCAGCGCCTGCTCCGCCCAGCCTGGCCCGTCTCAGTGCCTGGTGGCTCTGACTCCCACATACCGACTCCCATGTACTTGCTCAGGCCCCAGACTGGGACCCCCCCCCTCCCCCGCCTTTTTTCTTCTCTCTCTCATTTTCCACATTCAAATGGTGGACAAATCCTGGTGGCGTTGTCCTCCCGTTCTCCTCCTTGCCCTCCCTGGGTGGGCCATGTCACCATCCTCTCTCATACGCTGCTCTCCCTGCTTCTACCCCAGTGATGGCGAACCTATGACACGCGTGTCAGAGGTGACACGCGAACTCATTTCTTGGGTTGGTTTTTCTTTGTTAAATGGCATTTAAATATATAAAATAAATATCAAAAATATAAGTCTTTGTTTTACTATGGTTGCAAAGATCAAAAAATTTCTCTATGTGACACGGCACCAGAGTGAAGTTAGAGTTTTTCAAAATGCTGACACGCCGAGCTCAAAAGGTTCGCCATCACTGTTCTAGCCTGAGCAACGCCACCATCGTACATGGTCAGAGGACGCCTGTAAGTCACCTCCCTGTCACCCTCCTGATTTCCCATCTCTCTTCAAGGAACACATGGCATCTTTACAGCGCCGGTTGAGGCCCTGTGTGATCCCGCACCCGGCCAGCTCCAGGCTCCGTGTCCTGTCGCTCCCCTCTTCTCTCTGTCTCTGCTCCAGCCACACTGGGCTCCTTCCCACCCCAGGACCTTTGCACTTGCTGGTGCTTCTGCCGGACATACCTTCCCTCACACATCTCCGTGGCTCACTCCCTTACCTCTTCACTTCCCTGCTGGTCACCTCGAAATCTTGCCCTTTGCCCCACTTACAATCCCCTGACCTGACCTTTTAAAAAAAATTTTTTTTTTTATTGATTCATTTTAGGGGAGAGAGAGAGAGATGTTGATTTGTGGTTTTACTTAGTTGTGCATTCATTGGTTGATCTTGTATGTGCCCTGACCGGGGATCGAACCTGCAACCTTGGTACATGGCACAGGGCTCTAACCAACTGAAGTACCTGGTCAGGGCGCCCCTGGCCTTCTTTAAAAGCCCAGATTATAAGCCCCCTCCTCGGAAACGTCTCTGATCACCTCCAGGTCCTGTGTCCTGGTAGGAGGGCTTTCGTGAGCTCTTCACTGGCATTTAACACAGCTCTGGGCCCGCAGTGTGCACTGAACAAACAACAGTTTCTCCTTTTCGTCCCCTTTGCCAAGTAGATTCCTGATATGGTGGAGTTTTTTACCTAATTTACCTGTGAATCAATTCCTAACAGTTTTTTAAAAAATATATTTTTATTAATTTCAGAGAGGAAGGGAGAGGGAAAGAGAGACAGAAACATCAATGATGAGAGAGCATCATCAATCGGCTGCCTCCTGCACGCTGCCCACTGGGGATTGAGCCCGCAACCCAAGCGTGTACCCCTAATCGGAATCGAACCCGGGCCCTTCCAGTCCGCAGTCCAGTGCTCTATCCACTGAGCCAACCCAGCTAGTTTGAAACTAACAGTTTTCATCGCACATAAAAGGGCCTCTAGGACTATTGCTTAAACTAGGTTTCCTAACTGGAACTCCTTTCTCTCCCTTTGGATCTTTCATGTTTTTATATGATGTCAGTGCCCCCTGGTGGGGAAATGTACACAGAACAGGCTGAGGCTGCTCTACACCGAGCTGTCCAGCTTTCTGGGCTGTTGGTGAAATATGCAGTTCAGAGGCCCATTTCCTGATTTAAAAGAAAAACCTGCAAATACACATACCAAGAATAATACACACTGCCCGGCCAGCGTGGCTCAATGGTTGAGCATCGACCTATGAACCAGGAGGTCACGGTTCGATTCCTGGCCAGAGCACATGCCCAGGTTGTGGGCTCGATCCCCAGTGTGGGGCGTGCAGGAGGCAGCCAATCCATGATTCTCTCTCATCGTTGATGTTTCTGTCTCCCTCTCTCAATCTCCCTTCCTCTCTGAACTCAATAAAAATACATTTTTTTTAAAAAGAGCAATGTAGACTCTTAGAGGTAAAATTCTGAGTGTGGAGCTCTGCCTCGGGGTTATGATCCACAAAGTACCGGGCAGGTCCCTTTGAACTCCGGGCTTTTATCTTCAGGCCGAGGGCCGAGGGCCTGCCTCTGAGGGTAGGAAGGTCAGGCTGCAATCAGATGTTCCTGTCTTCCCATATCCTTCCTTCTAATGACGGCCGGAGGCACCGCCCCCCCCCATGCGTCCTTGTGCCTTTCACAATCTCCACCCGGAAGACTCGGTTCAGATCCCACCTTTCCCATCAAACCTCCCGTGACCCCAGCAACCTGAAGATCCGCTCTCTAAACCCCCAGAACGCTGCCTCGTACTGTTACACCAGCACCTGCCCTGAGACCTTCTAAGGCAGCGGTTCTCAACCTTCCTAATGCTGTGACCCTTTAATACAGTTCCTCATGTTGTGGTGACCCCCCAACCATAAAATTATTTTCGTTGCTACTTCATAACTGTAATGTGGCTGCTGTTATGAATCGTCATATAAATATCTGATATGCAGGATGTATTTTCATTGTTACAAATTGAACATAATTAAAGCATAGTGATGAATCACAAAAACAATATGTCATTATATATGTGTTTTCCGATGGTCTTAGGCGACCCCTGTGAAAGGGTCGTTCGACCCCCAAAGGGGTCGTGACCCACAGGTTGAGAACCGCTGTTCTAAGGCCTTTCCTCCGTGTCTCTGGGACTTTTAAAAAGCACGCTGGCTGTTCAGTGTTTCACATTTGTATGTCATATCTCCCCTGCTGGGTCGGAGGGCGCGCAGTCCATTGATTCGATTTGTCCTGAAAAGTAGGCGCCAGCGCCCCCGGCCGGCCATAGGGGAGCTTCCTGGGCTGGGCGCTTTGTGAGCCTCCAGTGCAGACGCAAAGGGAACATGGCTATTGGGCCTGCTGCTAATTTGTCCCCATCCGGCCGGAGGAGGTACAGACTCACATGAGCAGTGACTGAAAGGTCTTAATCCACCTCAGTCGCACACAAAGATCTGACACAGCCTCTCCAGACCCCCTCCTCGCTTTCCCCCACTCCTTCTGCCCCCTTACTTCCCCGCCCCTTTGAGCCCGGCAGCATCAATCAGGGTGGCTTCCTGTAGGAGGCGGGCTTCCATCACAGTTTGCCAAGTGAGAGGAAAAGGGGAGCATTTCATTTCAGGTGAATGAACTGACACAGGAAAGGCAGAGAGAGGGGCAGGAAGGGGCGTGTCTTCACGGGACTGATGTGAACTCTGCCATCTTGGATGCGAGGGACACGTGGGGGCGAGGGCTCCGGAGTGCTCACGTGACCTTTGCGTCCTGTCCCCTAGGATGCGTGGCACAAGCTTCTTATTGGGGACGTGGAACTGAAGAGGGTGATGGCTTGTTCCAGGTAAGACCCTTCCGCCACTGCCCGGGACAGGGAGGGGCGGGACAAGGCCCCTCTGTCCCCGTGTGATGCTCTGTGTCTGTGTGTGCAGGTGCGTTTCAACCACCGTGGACCCGGACACGGGCGTCATGAGCAGGAAGGAGCCGCTGGAGACCCTGAAGAGGTAGGAATGGGCTGTAATATCCCTAAGTAGAAGCAGTGAAACGCCACCACACACACACACACACACACACACACACACACACACACACACACACAGCTTTAGAGCTGATGGGCCCTAGGGATTGGGATCTGGGAAATACGGGGCGGGGGGGGGGGGGGGCTGGTCCCCAGGGTGCCTGCTTGCACACATGGTTTTATTTTTCCTTGAGAACTCATGATGCAAACAAACCAATTAAAAAACAGACTCACGTTGTTTAGCTATTTTGGCACATTTTATCACGGACCAAGTATTAGATGATACCAGAATGTATTAGGTGTGATAATGGCATTGTGGGGATGCGAGACACGTTCATATGTTTAGAAGAAGGTGTGGGGAAGTGACATGATGTCTGGGATGTGCTGCAGATTATTTTAGCAAAAAAAAGAAACAAAAACAACCAAAGAGACATGGGAGCCCTGGCTGGGTTGCTCAGTGGTTAGAGCGTTGGCCCATGGACTGAAGGGTCTTAGGTTCGATTCTTGGTCAAGGGCACGTACAATCCTCAGCCCCAGTCAGGGGTGTGCAGGAGACAACGAATCGATGTGTCTACATTGATGTTTCTCTCTCCCTCTCCCTCCCTCTCTTTCTCGCCCACTTTCTCTAAAATAAAAATTTTAAAAAATCAATGGAAAAAATATCCTCGGGTGAGGATTAACAACAACAAAAAGTAACATGGGGAAAAAAATGTGTCAAAATCTTGATAAATAGAATCTGGGTGATAACTGGATTAATTGCACTATTCTTCTTTAAAAAAAAAACATACATATATATATGTATATATATATTATTGATTTCAGAGAGGAAGGGAGAGGGAGAGAGAGACAGAAGCATCTATGACAGTGGTTCTCAACCTTCCTAATGCCGCAACCCTTTAATACAGTTCCTCATGTTGTGGTGACCCCCAACCATAAAATTATTTTCATTGCTACTTCATAACTGTAATGTTGCTACTGTTATGAATCGTAATGTAAATATCTGATATGCAGGATGTATTTTCATTGTTACAAATGGAACATAATTAAAGCACAGTGATTAATCACAAAAACAATATGTAATTATATATGTGTTTTCCGATGGTCTTAGGCGACCCCTGTGAAAGGGTCGTTCGACCCCCAAAGGGGTCGCGACCCACAGGTTGAGAACCACTGATCTATGATCAGAGAAAATCATTGATTGCTGCCTCCTACACACCCCCTGCTGGGGACTGAGCCTGCAACCTGGGCATGGGCCCTGACCAGGAATCGAACTGTGACCTCCTGGTTCATAGGCCGACGCTCAACCACTGAGCCACACAGGCCGGGCTCTGGGTGTTGTTCTCCATGAAGCAGCAGGCAGGGCAGAACTGGATGGTTCTGTGTCCCACCAGCCAAGCCACTGGGGGAACCGACCCTCATCCTTTCCTGTACGTCAGGTTCTCTCTGCCACTAGCATGTCCCTTGGCGCCCGGCACCCTCCCCTGTGGATGTCAGAGGTGCCTGCGTGGCCGGGCACAGCCTCCCGAGAGCCCCCCGTGCGTTGGGCCGCTTCTCCGGCTCTTCGGCGCCCCCCTCCCCCTCCATGGGAGCCTCTGTTTACAGAGGACCATTGATCCAAACACA